GTATATTCAGTATTCTTCGCCAACACCATAATTCAAATGCACCAAAAAACAGAAAGATCTTCTATGAGATGGATTGGCACAGTGGCTGTAACAATGGGCTCCAACATAACGATGATTGTGAGGATGGGGCAGGACCGTTTCGTTCTGTTGTACACGGGGTCAGTATGAGTTGGAACCAACTCCATGGCACCTAACAACAATCCTCCTCCGCTGTTGACCGCTGAGGTTTCTGTTTAATTGACTTGTAACTGCTGGTCTGAGATTAACTTTTTAGTTGAGATATTCTCTTGCTGAAGTTTAGGCTCTCATTAGTGGAAACTTTAACTAAAATCTGAATATTTATCTTGGAAAAGTCAGAATCTTGGTAACTCAAAGCTATAATTATGGTCACTTCAAAAGGAGAGGCCCCTGGCCTTAAGGTTATTTAATTAACATTTGTAAAATGCGGAAAGAAATTGAAATAGATGATATTAGAGTATATGTGTGATGTAAATAAACTGGACTTAGAATGTTGAATTCACAGCATTTTCCACCAATTTAATTGACTTGGTATTATTTTAAGAGGCTTCTAGAGAAGTAGTAGTTAGAATAGTAATAGTAAATGAAATAGTAATAAAACCAAAGCCAAATCCATTGCTGTCAAGTTGGTTCCAACTCATAGCAACCCGATAGGACAGAGTAGAACTGCCCCATAGGGTTTCCGAGGCTGGAATCTTTACAGAAGCAGGCCGCCGCATCTTTCTCCCCCAGAGGGGCTGGTGGATTCGAACCATCAACGTTTCAGTTAGCAGCCGAGCACTTAACCACGGCACCACCAGGGCTCAAAACAGTAATAATAAGTAATAATAGTAAATATGATGGAAGTTTAATGTCCTGTGTAAAGCTTAGCTTATTTCTCTTAAGTTCATCCATTTCACCCTTCGTAGTGACTCATAAGAACTTAAAAAGAAAAAGAAAATTCTATGGTAGGTGAGAGATTCTGGACTAAACTCTGTAGTTCATGTAGATTCCTTCTTAATAGTGATCTTCCAAGTGTGAGACCTGGACTTCCCACATAAGACTCTCTTAGACTCCTTGTTAAAAGGCAGGTTGAGGGCAGAGACACCAAAAACACTTGTGCAAAGAACCACTCCTGGGGGTGAGAACTGTCTTGTGGAAGAAGGCTGTGGTTGGCAGGAGCCTAGTAGAGGAACTGGGCCAGGAGTTTTGCTTGTTTAATCTTTGCGTGGGGTGGCCAGCTGGAAGCGGCAGCAAGATGGGACTCTCTAGAGAACTCTTGAGCCACTTGTAGAAGTCTTTGTGGGCTACATACTCATGGAACCTGTTTACAATACATTCCCCTTTCTGAAAGCTACATAATGTTTCTTCTGGATTTCCTAAAGGAAAACGAACATAACTTGTGACCCGCAATAGGAAACTGGCTATTTCATGGTGACCCCCCCACCCCGAGAAATTTTTGCACACCTGAGAAGGCCAGACAATCTTGAACTTGGTGGTCAAGAACCCACACTGAAAAGCGGCTCAAGCATCATGTCCTCCCTTGGTCACTTCTGCGGAACTCGTAGGAAACCCAACTCCTGCTTCCTTGTTGTTGGATGCCATTGAGTCGATTCCTTACAGCATAGAGACCCTGTGTAAGATGTCTTTCTCCTGCAGAGCCACTGGGTGAATTTGAACCGCCAACCTTTCAGTTAGCAGCTGAGTGCATAGCCATTGTGCCACCAGGCCCCCCTACTCCCTTAGAACTCCCTGTTATCACTTGGGGGCCCTGAAGAATTCCTCCTGAA